CGGCTAATAAATTTAATAACTTCAATTGAAGTCAGGCGCTTAAAAGCATGTCTATCAAATCCTCACATGAAAACCAAAATGTTAATTGCGTTTTGTAAGTTTTCCGCAATTTTGATGTTTGTTTTCGGTTTTAGATTTTTACTCTATTGATTGACTGACTGACTCCGAAAGTCACCATCATTTAGTATTTTCTTCTCTCAACATTTTCTAATTATATGTCTAACATTAAAAAAAAAATATTATTAACGAAATAACTCTCACGAAACTAAAAATCAAATTTTACAAAATTAAATTCGCTTCATGTGAAACTACTTTCGTAATGGTGTATAATCCGACGAACCACTCGACTAGTGGTTCGTAGACGCCTATTTCAAAGTGGTGAGGTCAATGTAGAAAAGGACGTTTCTATATTGTCATGGGTCTGAGCAATGTATGTGATGTTGTTTAATATTTATTTATTAATATATTAATTTATACTAAATCAACAATATTTTTGAAACACTGACTCCGTTAGCATCGAAGATTCACTATACGCAAATGGCGTCGCTACACTAGGTTTGCCTTAAAGGTAATTCGTGGTGAACTTAATATCGTGATCACATGTCACAAAGGTGTAGCGTGAAGTTCGTGATAATATTTCTCAAATGTCAAATTCAAAATGATTATGATCGATTTTTTAATTCTTCATCCTGGCAACTGATAGCGAAATAAACGCAATAAAGTAACAACTACAAACAACCAGTTTTGTGCAACTACTTTCGTGACGTAAATTTGGCTTAACAGTTTTAAATTATAATTTTATAATTTAATTTTTGAAATATTGAGTTTTAACATAAATTATCTACAAAAGTACATATTTAAGAAAAAAAAAAGCTTTATACACCAAAGATAAAACAGTACATCCTACTTTTATCTCAAAACGTTTACAAGGAGGAAAGTAATTGTCTATGTCAAAGGCCCATACTTGTCTCTCCAAGAACTTATTAATCTCGTGTTCATTCAAAAATGAACCTTATTTACTTACTATAAAAATAAAGAAAATTCATTCATGAGATTACTCTTTACATGTAGCAAGACTTGTGTAATGGAAATAAATCAAATTTTTAAGAACTTAAAGTCTATATTTGATAATTAGATTTGTTACACTCGCTAAGAGCTGCGGTGACAGAGCTGTAACAAGATGATTTAGGGTTGTCACATTTATAAGATTGTGAGATATTTGATTTAACGGTTATACACAAATATTTTTGACCATAGACGAGAATTTGAATAAAGTAATAATAGTATTTTAACTTTTAACAGTTCTTACTTCTTTAAATTTTTTTGTATAGTTTATAACAATATCTGCTTAATATATGATATATTAGGTATTAATTTCTCACGACTAAAAATAAGAAGGTAAAAATAAATTGCAAAATGTTTGTCAGGTATAAAAGTGTAACTTTATGTTGGCTATAGCTCTATCTTGTCTTAAAACTAAGTTGCAGTTTATTTGAGATATAAAATGGGTAAGTATATCACTAGTTCTTTTAAAATGGCTCTGCAGACGTAGAAAAATTGGCAAGATAAGTTTATTACGTTTATAGTTATTTTTGAATGCCTAAAATATAAGTATGTTTTAAAACCGAGTTTTCTTTAAAAATTGCAAAATAAACAATGAGATAGACATTGCCTAGCATAGGTAATTATGTTATTTTCATTGTTCCGTGATCCTATTTTTGATTTTAAATATATAGACCCACGGTCACTTATATACTTTGGAAATAATTATTTGTATCGTTTTGTGCTTAGTTATTAGAGGCTCATGAAAGTTTCTAAGTATAACGGAATTCCATAAAAATAGAGGCCAATAATGTCGACAAGTAGTGAATAATATATCATATAAAAGAAATTAAGGATGAATTCATTGTTTCCAATAAACATTATTTTTCCCAGAATACAACCAAAACTGTATGATTAATACTGCTGTATGTACTCGTGATAATAATGTCTATTTTTGTTATTATGTAAAACGAAGTTATTGGCATTTAAATAATATTTCATTTAAAGATGATTTATTAACATATAAACGTGTCAGTATTAACATACTCGCGTATTTTTATAAAAAAGGATACAAATTTTCTACTTAACGTTTATTATAAAGTTATATAAGTACGTTCTGAATTTATGTCCTGACATACTGACTGACGGATACTTCACGTCGTAAAGACTTGAAATTTGGAGGGTACACTTTTCTTATTACGTAAAGGTGTACTAAGAACGGGTTTTTGGAACTTTCACCTCGAAGTGAGTTAATAAGGGTGAAAACATTTGCATGAACTTTTTGTTTTTGAACGTATATACATGAAAATTGATATTTGAGTTGTTTAACAGCCTGGGAGGGGAAAAGGTTATATTTTATCTCGAAAAGCAGCACTTAAAGGTATGAAAATGGGAATAAAAGTTGATATGGGGAATGAAAATGTTACCATAGCATCCATTGGTTACTACTTGATTTGTCATTGTAATAAATCTGTTAAATATTATTTGTAAATATTTACTAAAATTGTGATGAAAATTGGTATTTGAGTACATAATTTATAACAAAAATTACATTTTAAATATAAATATTCGAAAATATTAATCATTTTACAAACGAAAGAAAACGACTGCTTGTACGATTTTTGTCAAGGATGAGTGTGTAAATAAAATATAGTAAGAACTTTCTAAAAACTAAAATACAGTAAGATTTTAATGGCGCAGTGGTTAGCATACTCAGTCAAGGGCCGGATGGATGATCAAAATTTATTCAGAGAAAATGCCATTACTGGGTGTTAAATTTTACTACTCGGACTGATAAAGTGAAGCTCTGTTATCAAAGATAAGATAGTAAATACGGTCACTCCGCCATTTTGTCTGAGTATGCCGTGAAATATTGATAAAAACAGTTGTTTTTGTGCCATAAAGTGTTTAAGGCAAAATATTTATTTTTATGTGATATTTGGAATTAGCAAAAGGTATTTTTTTATTTTCTTATTAATGTACTTTTAGATAGCGTGATACCTTTTTTTTAACTTTGATAATGAATAACATAATGTTTGCGTGAGTTTCAATTAACTGGATGAAGTTTCAACATACGACCCTTGTAAAACTTCTATTGTATTTTATATCTTGAGGATACTTTGACGGCACTTAAAAAGTGTTAAAATATTTAAAAGTTAGATGCTTAACTCTTATTACAAATGTTCTTTTAATAATTGAAATAGAATATCGAATGGCTATAGTTATAGTTTAGAACACCACTTTGTAGATAAGCAAAGGCGGATCTACAATTTTTTTAAACCGGTTCAGAAACTTCGTTCTGTGCCCTTTCTTTACCCCCCACCCCTACCCTCCTGAAGTTGGATCTTATATTATCGTATTTCTATCCCATCCTAGCCTATAATGCGTATGAAGAGATTTGAAAAGCTCGTCTTTTTCTGAACTGAACAGTAGAAGAGTTTTACCTGAATTTAAGAAGTCAGTGTATTCCCAAATACCCAAGTACTATAGTTTAATATTCATTCCTAATTAATCAGGGCTGACTCTCGAGGCCCCCTAATCACGGGGGTGTCATGGTTTATCCGCTTCTGTTAATGGTTAATCTATATTATAATGCAACAACCTTGAAGATAAGAGAATTATTAACAGAATCGTATAATGATTTTGTAACTCTGATTCGCTTCAAAAAGCAAATGTGAATTTATAATATTAGCACTACCTACTTTAGTATAATCGGCCTTTATGCCCATTTAAGATAGTCACATCAAAGTTATATAAAAAACTATAAATGTTCTGAAATAGTTTTTTTATGTAGGGTAATGATATTAATATTGTCCTGCTCTGTGTAGGCGACGTAAGTACATTAGTAAGCATGTCAGACTATACAAAACTGAAAAATTTCTCCAGCGTGCAATAAAACTTAAGGGTAGAGATGAAATCCATTGCAGGACATTTTGTGGTAAACCGACGAGCAGTACATTGTTTTAAATGAAGATAACGAATTCAGCCCAATAGGTTATCTGTTATCGTACAGTCATTATTTTATCGATTTTTGTGATTATAAAAAAATAGAATAGACATAACAGAACATACTTACTTTTCTGTGAAAAAAATAGGAGTGGTAGGATAAGATAAAAGAGATTTATATAGTAAAATGTCTATTTATAAGATAACTTCATCACTACGTATGAGTTATGAATTAAGTTCAGGACCCTAGTCAATCCATTTCTAAGGAGGTCGTGTAAGATGAATCTATCTCTAAGGATGAGTCCAAAAGTAAGGATATGTCAATGGCAAGGATGAGTCTATTTGTAAGGTACTCATTCCAGATAAGTCTATCTGTAAAAAAGACGAGTTCATTGTAAGGTTCACAAGTTCACTACTCATCTCAGATGAGTCCATTTGTGAGGATATCTTTAAGTAAGGTACTCATGTAAAATTAGTTAATTTGGTGGGTATCTACTCATCTAAGATGAGTGTTTTGACTATTTCGAAACAGAAAACACGAATCAGAATATGAAATGACGAATGAAATGAAAGAGAAAAGACTTGTTTGTTTATTTGCATTGAATAGGCTCCGAAATTAAAGGAGCGATTTTAAAAAATCCGGAGGTTATAATTAAGGCAGCAATGTCCGAGAAAACAACTCTTTAACAATATTAATTCCATTACATGAATATATACATATTAATATCAATTCTCTTTTTTTTTTCAGGAAAATGGCTGTCAAAGTCATCCTGTTTCTTTTTGTTACTGTCGCTGGAGGAGTACTTTCTCAAGATAGTTAGTATAATTAATGTTAGAAAAAAATGATTGTATTATAAAGTACTTCTTTCGGAAAAAAAATATAAAACAAAGCATTTTTAACAACCCAACTATTAACAACCAAACGGAATGAAACCTCGACGTTTTACCTTATATAACTATTCATTGACGAATCTAAGTTGAACTATTAAAATCATATATCGTTTTGAATGCACAAATATTTGTAAATAATTTTTTAACTTTTGAGTTAAAATATTGACAAATATTCTACTAATACAACTAGCGCCATCTTTTGTCGAGTAGCAAAACTAAACGTTTTCTTTTTCAGGCGGCAATGTTACGGCGATGGTTAACGATATAGATGTTGCTTTAGAATCAGGAATATGCAGAAAATGTATATGCAAAGATGGCAAAGTGGATTGTTCTAATCAAGGGTTAACAACTTTTTTCTCTAAAGAGGAGTGGGCAGGTTTGTAAAATTAAAATACATAACTAATCTGGAATGCATGTATTTCAACTTTTTTTTTTATAAGTAGATGGTTTGACTATTTACCCATAGATAGCGATAATGATAAAGTTTCCTTACCGAGCCGAGCCACAGCTTCGCTCAATACTTATTCGATGATACGAGGAGAGATTCAAAACCTACTCGAAAGACCATTTTGGGAACTGCATTTCCAATAATGTTTCATTTGAGTATAGAATACACACGATAAATGATAAATCTTAGCCATACCTATAAAAACGGTACAAAGATTTTATTAATTAATACGTCAATTATCTATTATAACAAAATGTTTTTTGTAATCTATTTACATTCAAACATTTTGTTTTATTAAAATAAGCAAATCCATTGTTTAAATAAATATGTTTATCATAATACAAGGACATTATAAGAATATATTTATTTATACATATTAATTGATAGAATCAATAAAACTTTTTTATAACTGTGGCTAGAGCTATAATGATAGAGTTAGGTGGTCGTTATTCTGGGATCTATTTAGATAATCTTTTGTTTGCTTATAGCTTTGAAAGATTTCAAGCCTGTACACGTCGATATGAGCGATAACTCCTTCGAAAATATAACGGCGATCGCGGAGCTTCCAATAGAGATTCTAAATCTATCCAGATGTGGTATAGAGTCTATAGAGTTTGCGGCCTTCCGTGACCTCCAACAAATGAGATCTCTGGATCTTAGCCACAACAAGCTGACGTCATCATTGAGTCCTCACGTTTTCGAAGTGAGTATAGTTGCTTTTATGGTAGTATTTGTTTTGTATCTTTTTGCTTTTACATTAATATGTCTTCGCTACATGACGTAGCATGACAAACTTGATAAAAGCTTTATCTACACCAAATGTCACTTTACTCGAAACGAGATTAAGATATCGTATGGGCATGTGCACAACAAAACATAATTATCGACCTCCGTAGCCGAGTGGTTCGCACGCCGGTATTAAGGTGTTCCGGGTTCGATTCTCGGTCAGGTCAATGTAGATAATGAACTTTTCTAATTTGTCCCGGGTCTGGGGGTTGTGGTACTTTCATTGTCTTAGATACTCCATAAAACTGGGATTTAGCTACTCATCTTGGAATCAAAGCAATGTATGTGATGTTGTTTTTAATATTTATTTATTTATTATAATCAACTTAATGCAGCTTAACGAAGATTGGTGGTGAAAATTACTTATATACCCTGGTTTACCGTGTTTCCCTTAGGTGTAGTAGACAGAATAAACTTCTGAAACAGTTAAGCCACTATCTCTTTAAGTATTTCCACATAAAAATTAATAGCATAACGAAGCTATTATCAGGGATCGTACTCTTATTGATAGCCAATTTTCGATATATTATGCACTTCCCCATGCTCTGTCACACTCTACTGCATTGAAAAATTCGTAAATCAGAGCAGGATAGTTATCGAAATAGTCCTTTATATAATTGCCAAACCCTGAAACAAGTCTGGCCATGCTATTCTGCATAGAGTATAGAGGATCAAACAAATAAAACCTACTTCAAAAGGATTAAAGGTTTTAGAATTATTTTGAAATACGGGATTTCTATCATGTACCCTTTATTTCTCGAGCAAGCGCCATGATCACGGAATAGCGCTTGAAACAGCGCTAAAATATCGGGAACTCGAGTAATAGAAATTTTAAAACAATATATAAGTTTTATTTCATTGGAGCTCTATAATGTGATAATGCTGTGCTCGATGTCGAGTTATAGTCTAATCTAGGCTGATATTACCATAGTTGTATGATTCTTGATTTCTCAGGGTCGTTACTCACCTCAACTCTATGAGCCTCTGCTGTCGATGGAGGTACTGAATTTGGCGCACAATGAACTGCACTCCCTCCATTCCGATCTGTTCGAACACGTACCAGAACTGACGGAGCTGGACCTTACGGGGAATCCTATGACAGTTATCGATGATCGCACGTTGATCTCTATATCAAGCTTGAGTATGTTAAAGGTAAAATTAATAAGCAGTATATAATTCGATTAAAGTTATAAGAAGCTGTCATTCCTAAGTCGTTGTCGTTTGAAATACTTTTTTATTTATTTTCTATTTTTTATTTATTCTCCATAAGTGGTGTAAACGTGTAAAACAACGTTTTCTTCGAATCACTAACTGCTACATACGGATGGACATACCAAAAATTTTCTTTTAAGTACAGAAACCTATAAACACTCATATACTCGTATAATTCTGTGTCTTCTCATCAGCATTTTGATTACATTCCAGGTTTTACGTCTAAGGTCGTGCCAGTTGACAGAAATACCTGATAAGTTTCTACACACTTTCCGGAACTTGGAGAGACTGGATCTGAGCGACAACCTCCTTGCTGGTGTCCCTCAAGAGCTGGCAGAATCAAAGAATCTTCTGTACTTGAACCTCAATCAGAATCCTATTAAAAAGCTGGATGTGAATTCTGAGGATCATCCGTTAGTATCTCTCTCTCTCTCTCTCTTTCACTTTCACTCTCTATTTTAGTACACTGCTGGATGCTCTGCTTGAGGCGATTGTTTACCAAGTCAGTCGCCTTTTTTATATCGTCCGATCATCTTCAGACGAGTTCGGTTTGCAAAAATTAAAACAATAAAAGATCAGGATGATAAGAACTAAGAACATCACATTATAAGGTTTCTCCCACTGTGATAATAAATGTGATTATTATTATAATAACAGTTACATATTGTTCGTTTCTCAGGGGCTTCCCTCGCCTTCGCAAGCTGAAAGAATTGCATATGTGCAATATGCCAACTCTAGCGGAAATTGGGCCTGGTGCACTAGCTGGCTTGGAGAATCTGGAAAAGCTACATCTGAGTTTTAACCCTCAACTGACACATATCAGCCCTAAAGCTTTGGCTCGTGCCGACGATATCGGGGAGACATATGACTGGCCATTAGTAAAAGAGGTCAGTTTTTAAAGATCCTAGTAGGTACTTGGCACCATACAGAGAATCTTAAAAATTATTACTTTATCTACAAGATGTTTATAGAAGTCGGACGATTAATATTAAATAGATCTACACAAAAGTTCCGAGTTTGAATTACTTTGGTATCGGGTGCTGTTAAATATCTATTTAATTGGTATATAATTTGAGTTCGTATTAATGTACAAAACTGCATAGTATCGTAGTGTGTATTAAATTCTCCTCTCCTTCTCGAACTCCTTCGAGATAACACATTTTTTGGTCACCCATTCCGTGACCGACCCTCACGAAAGTTACTTAATAACGTATTAGTTTAATAAGTTAACAATACGCCACCGAGCTATTCCTTACTATTCACCTTATAACTCTGATATGTTAAAATTCCATTATTTTACCCTCTACTTGTGTGCAAGTAGTCCGCCAATGCGTGATCGTAATCATGTTCCTGTAATTTACCAAGGATATTAATTCTATTCTTCTCTTCTTAAAGAATATTTTGTGTGTTTTACAGTTGTATCTCAAATCTAACGCTTTAACCGAAGTGGATTCTCGTCTGTTGTCACGCTGGGACCTTTTGGATGCTATAGATGTATCAGACAATCCGTTCATGTGCGATTGTTCCACTCAATGGATGGTGGACAGCCTTGTACCGATTGTGGACAAGTTAACGCCAAATGCCTCTAGTAGTATGGTGTAAGTTTTTTTTTACTGATTATAATACACTCTTAATTTGTAAGGGTTAAACAGAGATTTTTTGTTTTAAATTAACTATTCTGTGGTTTTAAGCACAGTACAGAAAAGAGGTAGTAATAGTAATGTTTAGGGCCAGTTTCACCATTCGCTGATTAAGTCCCTGATAGACTATCAAAAACTTATCTGCTAGATAAATTGAAAATTTTGGTTCAAATAGAACTATCTGACGCATAATATCATTGACTTTTAATTATCAGATAGCGTTTTAAGTTAGATAACTATCTGGAACTTTATCAGCAAGTGGTGAAAGATGCCTTTAGTAAAAGAAATGCTTAATTCATAAGATCGAAAAAGCAAAAATCAAATCTAGGTGTTCGCGGGAATATCTTCGATAGCCCATGAGCACAAGTAAGTTGATTCGGACGCCGATCCTATCGTTTCTATTGATATTTATATAGTCCAGACAGACGAAATAGGCTTCTGAGCACTTAGCATGATAATATCAAGAGACTCGAGAAATGGGCGAGAGTGGTATATGTTGATACAATATTTCACTCTCGGCCGCTCACGCCTGTTTCTCGAGTCTATCGAGATCGACATTTTACGTGTTCAGAAGTCTATTTTGCGTTAAATGGTAGCGTAGCCCTGCTAAAAGTTCTGAAAATTTCCCCTCGTCCCGGAATCGGAATTGTGTATGGTAGTAATATTTAGTAATTAATACTCGTATTTAAGAAGTTTTTAGTAGTTTTGCTTTAGCCTGATAATTTTATGAGGTTGTTGTTTTTTTATCACTAGATGTGAGGAACCAGTGGAAATGTTTGGTTACACAATGCACCATATTAATCAGATTCATCGTACCATGCGTTGTGTCGACAAGTATGGACATCGGCCAGAGAGAGACGGAGCTATGTTGATGGGCACACTCATTGGTAAGAAAAGGACATAAAATTATCACATTTTATTGATTTTAGTATATTAATTTTTGTCTGGTATCCCTAGACAGTTATTTCAAAGAAGGTTATCATTATTATATTTGATCGACTTTCCATTCACAATGCTATATTAATATGGTCTTAAAGAAAAATGCTTAAAAAAATCACCAGTTTAAAATTGTATGTGCATTTTAATCATTATTTTCTTCAAGAGTATTTAATATTGTTGTAATTGCAGATATTTTATATAGGTATGTTAGTTGGTCTCAGCTTCTTAATTAATACATGTGACAAATTTTGTAAGTGTATGCATGCTTAAAGTGTCTGTATGTTTGTATATATCGAAAGTAAGTTTTCGAATCACAATGGAACTCTTTTTTTTATTAATTAACTTTTAAATCAATGAACAGCATAAGTTTAATCAAAATTGTTTCAGTAGACATTAAAAAAATTTGATAAACTTGTTTTAAAGTCAAGCTGTTAATTTTAATAACTTACAAGGTACATATAACCTCATTTTTAAAGTCTTAAACTTTCCACCCGACATAGCCTATTTAAAGTCGATTTATTATATTTTTAACAAATAGAAGTTTTTAAATTTTTTTTTATATTTGTAAAAATATATCTTCTGGCTGTTTGGGTGGGTTGCCTCAACATTTAATAAAACGATTTTATATTACTTACGTCATAGCAAGAGAGTAAGGTGGTCGGACTGGTCGTTACTTTTAAAATAAAAATGCATTTTTATTTTCAGGTGTACTTCTTGCTGTCCCCATAATGATGGCGTTAATGTTGCTATGGAGACGTGGATACTTCTCTTTCATAGGAATGAGAGGTCCAACAGAAGTGTCTAGAGCTTTCTACAAGAGAGCTCCCGATAATGATAATTTCGTATAAACCTAGGAGACAAAACGTAGTATAAAAACGCCAAGATAAAAAAGGTTTCACAGTATTCTGCAATGCTATTCTGTAATAAAATATATGCTATTACAGGTAGCATAGAGGTTCAATGAAATAAAAACTTTATTGCATCTTAAAACAGGTTTTATTCGATTGAAACTCTATGTTACCTGTGTTTTTTTACAGAATAGTACTGTGTATGTGTTTTAATCACAGAACAGAAGAAAATAACTTTGCGTTTAAACCAATATGGACTTAATAATATAGACAATTAAAATAGATACATACTTACGTATTTTATTAGATTTTATTATATTTCGTAATAGTTTAGATTTAACAGAAGAGGAAATGTCAAATTGAGACCTGTTGTCTTATTTTGGTCGGATAACATATTGAACCTGGTACTAAAGTTTGTCCTCGTTCTATAATAAGACGGTGATAAACGGTTAGTGTTTTTTTGGAGGAAGTGGTATTTGTATTTATGTATAAAATTGATTTACTATTTATTTCTTAAAATTACACAAAATAAAAACTTTGTTTTTAATGTGACTTGCTTATTGTTTTACTTAAATAATATGACAGTATTTTATATTTCAAATAGTATAGTAAAAAGTTAATTTTATATATGTCAATTATTCGATTCTTTGCAAACATAATAATATAAAAAATAGGAGCAGTATTATATTGTAAAAAATAAGGTATTATATATAGACATTTAGAATGAGAAGAATTTTATTAAATAATCTAATATACATTTTACATGAAAGATCATTGTACTGAAAGCAATAAAACATTGAACTAAAATTGTATTATTTAATATTGTTTATTCTTAAATTAATAAAAGTTTTAATTTTTGAAACAAATTTGACCTAGTTTTTAAAATATATTTAATAAATAATCACGAGTTTAACAATAATTCAAGAAAAAAATAAAAAATAGTTTGTGAAAAACACACAAAACAAGAATTAAGTTTTAAAGATTTATAAATAATTCTGTATACATCAGACTTATGGGCACTATCCTGTAGTTATTTGTTTGCAATAAAAAGAACAGTAAACATTGAATTTCGTATTTCACAATTGTATTTTTTTATACAAATAACCAAATCAACTAAATGGTGTTAATGGTATAATTATTTTTCATTAAACAATATTTCTACAATAAAGAGTGCTTATAATAGCAATTAAGTATACTAGGGCCATGGTAGTGGCCCGCCAAAATTGATATGACAATGAAGCAGATAAGCAATAATTTTTCAACCCACACAAACAACATTTTGAGTACAAATGATTTGATTTACGATAAAAACATGTTTTTCCATGCTTATTTCGTTCATGTGACTTAAAGATCTTTTGCTAAACGTTAAGTGTAAAAGGTATTATGAGACAGAATACATAAATATCTTCGAAAACTTTTGTAGGTTCATTGTAGGATCATTATTGTTTACTCAGCGTCCGATTATCTTTAGAATTTTCTTCATCTTTAGAACTCTCAATGTGCGTAAATTTTCTTGCGTAGTTTAAGAAATCATGGTGTCATTACATGAATTTGTTTTTATAATTTCTAAAATAAAATTATATGACTTAATACTTTGTTTTATATTTATTACTGATAATGAATATTGTTCATTACATCTACGGATATTTTCTATCTTATCCTATAAAAATAGCCTTGAATTCGGCGTCGAGTGCTACGATGTGATAGTTCAATCAAATAAACCAACATTTTTAAAATTCAAATAAAATTATTCAGAGAACTTTGATTCGTCTAAATTTTTTTACCTTATTACTGTTCAGCACGTCTTTTGGCTCATTAGAAGAACGTTCAATAAACTCACCAGCTCTAATGGAAGCAACACATTCATAAGAAGCATATTATGAATGAGTTACTTTTTTAATAAGTATTACTATACCTTACTTCAAAAGGTAATGAAGATTTTATTTCATTAGAGCTCTATGCTGTCACAGCACTGTGCTCGACGAGGCCGTTTTCAACAGAATAGCACTTTAGACTGCAGATCCTCGAGAAAAGAGTGCCACAAGATATGGTCATAGATATTTTCTAGTTACATTGAATCGAATCTTGAAGAAGTGTAATTATGTTACTCGTCTGGTCGCCGGCAGCGCCTGCGCGTTGGGGATTCTTTCTGTTGTTGGTGTGACCACACTGCCGGGGTGCCACTGGGTGACATTTTATCTCCTCTTCTTTTTGCAATTAATATTAACACAACTTCCTGACAATTAATTTCTTCCCAAGGTTGCCTGCAAGAGATCACTTTTAGTGATAAAGTCCTGTTTTCGTTATAAAGTGTATTTCTATTTTTGTGTGTAGAATAAAGAATATTTTATCTATCTATTCATGTTTAATTCTGTAATGTATAATAAAAAAAACTTGATATTACTAAATTTTACCCGCGACTTATTTCGTCCCGCCCGGCACCAATTTCGAAAACGCTAATAGTTTTTAAACGACTTCAAAAAAGAAGGAGATTCTCAATTCGACTGCATGTTTTTTGTGTGGCTGTTACGCGATTGCTCCGCGAATTATGAATCGTTTTTCAAAATTCTTATTTATTTGATAGGTTAATAAATTGGGATTTTATTTGATCGAAATCGAAATTGAATTTGTAGTTTTCTTTTTATAACAAAACAAACTATGCTTTTGTCAGTTATTATCACCTAAATATTTTCATGCCATATTTATATCAGCGTAAAAACAAAATATAGCCTACTTTGCATTCAATCTAAATCTAAATGGAGGGATTTCTATATTCAACTAGAATTAATAAGTACTACGTACAACTAGAATGCTTACTGTGCGTCTAAACATGCGCCGAGTGAGAGGTCATAAATCTTGGTTTGTCCCTTTCTAAGTAGTGTAACCATTCTTACCTGAATACATTGGACATTAAAAGAAAATATTGATTATTGAAATTGAATAATATTAATATGAAGCAGAAAAAATTCTTATTTAATCTCAACTCAACAATAATAAATTTTGAAACTATGGAAATCAGCAATTTCATAGGCAGCCCTCCCCCCTTCCCCCCACTGGGGGAAGACCTAATAATAAAACGCAATCAAAATAGTATATTTTATTATGACTGTATTGTTTACATTTTAAAATTAAACATTACTTAACAAAATTGTTTTGTGCAATTTATGGCGTAAAGTAGCGCGAGATGTGCCAATGACCTTGAATGTGAGACCTTTGCCATAAGTTGATATTCTTATTATGAGAATCTCATGCCTTTGTTGGATTTATTTTTGTTCAATTGCTGATGAATATTTGGGAAACAGTTTGTTATGACAGATTGTACCTTTTCATAATTTTTACAATTTTCTTTTAAAACTGCTAAAAGTGACTTTAAATTATAAATCTTCATCTTCATGTCTCTTCTTTTGATTTTTGCCTAGTATTAATATCAAGTTTTAACTTCTTACATGAAGGACTTTAGTCAGGCGTATAACTAAAGGCGTTTTACACATTATTTTTTTTGTTATCAGGAAAAATTTGTGATGAAATTAGATAGGTACATAAAAATAAGTTATAATATGAATTGTTGTTTTAACTTATTATTTTCGATATAATGTTGTTTATAAATGAGTGCTTTAATATTAGGTAGGTACCTTTGGCAAGATTGAAGGAATCACTTCTGATTTCAGCCTTTTTCGAGCCTCTGTTCGGTAATCTTTGGTTTTGAAATGAAGTGTACAGACCACACAGCTTTCATGTAAGTTCCCAGGTATCAACCATTTTTTCTTTAACTCTAAATCCGATGGCAAACTGGAAATTTAAATTAAAATGTTTATTTTTTATTTTAGTAATAATTTGGTTTGGTTTGGTGTGTAATTAGATATTTGCAAAAGATCGATCAAACGATAAGCCTACTGATCAATAAAATTATTAAAGGATATCCATTTATGAGCCTCCACATGCTTGCTTAATGTAGGTAGACTTGCAAATAGTGAATAACCAAAGTGTTAAGTGATACAACAAGTTTAAATTTAGTACTTAATTAGGCTATAATAGGGTCTATGCTTATAGTATGTACGTACTTTACATCTCTATACATAAAGTATAGTCACCCTAGTTTCTACTGATGACATACTTACCTGTGAAAAGATAATCCACAGCCAGGTACGATTCTTTCCCATACCCACTCACAGCACATATATTGTTTACCATTTTTCAATCTAATATACTATTTAAAGCACTTTTTTAATTCAGAGAGGATTAAAAACAAGTCCATATGACAAAAAAGAAAACGCCATGTTACTTTTGTGGTGCCACGTGAACACTTCAATTTACCTAGTGTTGCATAACGTAAAGGTAATAAAACATGCCTACAATATTTAAATGTCGTGAAATATAAAAACTTTGATTTATCTAGACCTAAAAGCTATTGCATTTATATTATTAGTAAACTTATAAACAAGCCAAATATAATATTCATATAGAAAACGTTTTGTTCTGTGTAAACAGTTTTCACGAATTTACCACCTTTATATCAATAATATTTCACATGGCAATTGTGCGACAGAGACACACCAAGAAAAAAGATGTCTCACTTGAGTTCATTTCTCTATGTAGATAATGGTTATTTAAAAAACACTTTATTCACATATCATTAAGGTTCATTTTGATATGTAAAAAAGATCGCAGTTAGCATTCCAGTTGTACATAGTACTTATTAATTCAGCTTTCCTCAGGTGTCGCTATTTCTATTAAGCTATCGATAACATTTAAATATATACTATATTATATTTTACGCAAGTAGGTAGATGTTCACCGATTTCTTCGTGGTTCAAATTTAAAAAAGCGAAAAATAATACTAATCTCAACAGTTGGGCGGTTATCACATAATAAACTACAGAACACCTATTCCCAAGTTTCTAATTTGATTTTTAAACAAGTGCCATAATATAAAGTTTCATGGTTTTGGATGATAATGACGAATGACCAATTTCTACAAACTTTCATCCCTTTCTCATTTTTTTTGCAACAAAGGTATTTTTAGTGTACTAATTATGTTTTTTGGTGATGTTCGTGAAAAAGTTATTATAGGATCAAAAAGATAGAACGTTATAATACTTCTGTCATGAAGACTTTTTAATAGATTTTAAGGGTAGTTACTTACTTACTCTATGTTTTAAACGAGAAAACTTTCGACATAGAGTAAGCAAAGAGTGTTAATTTGAAAATTACA